CCCGCCCCGGTGGGGCGGGGCCGACTTGTTAAAAAAAAAAAAAACAAAGCCATTAAATGTTTTAATTTTGGGAATTAAACTTTTATTGTTCATTGCCTCTAAAAGTGTTTTTTTACATTGGGGGGGGGTCCTGGGGGCTACCATACCTCATACCTGACTTCCTAAAAAATACTACTAACCCCTCACCCAACATTAAGCAAAAAAAAAAATTTTTAAAGGGAAAATGAATTATTGCATAGTATAGCATTTTATCGCTCTGGGGCGCTTTAAATGTCGTAGTATATTACGTGTGGGTGGGGTGTCCTGGCGGCTACCATACCTCCTACACCTGACTTCATACAAATAAATACTACTCGCCTCTCACCCTACATTAAGACTACAAATATTTTAAGGTAAGTAATGAATGTACTGTGTGTGTGTATTTTACTTTTTGTTTTTAATGCCTAGTTCTATTGCTAACTTAATATTTATTAGTGTAAACTTGTTATCTGGCATTTATATGTGAAAAAATGTCATTCTGCTTTCCAGCAATGTCTGCTTTCCAGCAGCAGCCTGGAACCTAACCTGCTGTATAAGTGGGTCCCTACTTTACTGTATTTTAATTTGGTCTTTGCCTGTCTATTCTCTCCCTCTTTCAGTAACGTTCTGGTATCAGTAAATCATGTATAGCTACTTACACTAATGGAGACCACATGTTTTAAGAGGAGCAGCCAGCCTGGTTTTGAGAAAAAAATTAGTATTGTGATTTTTGGTGTTAGTATATTAATCAGTTCTCTGAGAATCTGCCATGTATTATTATAATAAGTTTAGCAGTAAATGTTTGCAAGTACTGTATGAAATAGCATTGTTTTTGTTTGTAAGCAAGTAAGTAAGTTTATTTAGGCACAGGTACACGTAAGTACAGTTATCATACATTGTGCAAATTACTTATGATAACCCCAAAAATATCAGACAAAGTGACTTATTTCCATTGATTCCTTAACCCGTAAACGGTCCAAGCAGATCTACGTTCACGTGTGTAGTGCTACAAAAGTAGATCTAAGTTTTTTTTACATATTTTCAAATATAACAAAAAAGAAGTAGATCACAGTTTTTTTTACACATTTTCAAATGTAAAAAAACAAAAAGAAGATCTACTTTTTTTACATACTTTCAAATGTTGAAAAAACGTATACAGCAGGGCCCCGCTTTACGGCGTTTCGCTTTACGCCGTTCCGCTAATACGGACATTTCAAATTATGACCAAAACTTGCTATACGGCTCCCCCCACCTGTCTTTCTAATACGGTCACAGCTGCCCACCGAGTTTGTTTACATTCTCCCTGAGCACATCTCCTTATTATGTCTGGAAACTTTCCAAAATTTCAAGTGTTTTAAAGTTATTGTATATTTTATATGTATTGTACTTGATAATTAAACTTGTGTACACCTGTACCTAAATAAACTTACACACTGTGCTGGCATGTAGGTACACATTAAAATCACTAAGTCTCCTCTACTCTTGATGCAATAATAATAATAATAATAATAATAATAATAATAATAATAATAATCTCTTGGGCGCATTAAATGTCGCATATACGTTAATATAGACATTTCCCTTAATCTATCTATGATATTTTTTTCAAAATTATATAAGAAACACATTATGTAACACACAAACATGATACATGCAACCCACAGTATAAAAATTTATACAAATATATATGAGATGTTTACCAAACGGTTTGTAGAAGTTTCGGAAGAATTACGTTTTCTCTAGCCTGTCACCTGTTACTAGGGATAACTGTAGAAAAATATTCCTTTCGTATGCCTTCACTTTATAGCTATAATTCTGTACTAACTTGTACACAGTGTAAGAGTATTTGTTTCGTGATTTAATTATTATAATAATAATAAAAATATTATAAGGTAAAAGTTTCACAAACTCTTACAAATGTACATGAATGAACTAAAACTGGACACGTATTAATACCGTCTATTTCGCCTGACCGAGTGATCGTCCACAACCTGTTCAGTTTGTTTGTTTACGCTGTCTGAGCTCGGTGTATCATTAAATGTTGTATATTACGTTAATATACACATTTTCATTAATCCATCTGTGATATTTTTTTCAAAATTATATAATAAACACGATACATAACATAAATACATAACAACATATGTGTAGAGAACCTAGGATAACCCAAAAAAGTCAGAGTGACTTACTTCCATTGCCTTCACTCAGAGCTTCATTTCTTCTCAAAATGATGTTACATGAGAATGGGAGTGTTCTTCTTTATTTATTCTACCGTATCAATGTAGAGACAACCTGTACACAATGTAACTTGTACACAAACCAGACGTGTACACTTCGTTTACAAAACTTACCTTTGCCTGGTTTGTTTACATAACTCTGCGCCTGTCCTCTCTCATGCACTCATTCTTTCTCTCTGGTATGGTAGCCTGGCTGACTACCATACATACCACACTTGATTTTTTACAATAAATACTACTCATCTCACTCTATATTTTAAGGTAAGTAATGAGTGAACTGTATATACATTTTATCGCTCTGGGATGCTTAAATATCATAGAATAGTATGTGTGGGTGGGGTGGCCTGGTATGGTAGCCTGGCTGACTACCATACATACCACACTTGATTTTTTACAATAAATACTACTCATCTCACCCTATATTTTAAGGTAAGTAATGAGTGAACTGTATATACATTTTATCGCTCTGGGATGCTTAACCCTTTGAGGGTCGACAGGCCCTCTCCGAAACACGTTCTCAGGGTCGGCCAAATTTAAAAAAAAAAAAAAAATATTTTCTCTTATGAAAAGATAGAGAATCTTTTCCCGATCATAAAGACACCAAAAGTTTGAAATTTGATAGAAAACTTACGGAATTATGCTCTCGCAAAGTTAGCGGTCTCCACGATGTTTACGCATCGGCGATTTTGCCCACTTTGAGCCCCATTTTCGGCCAATTTCACTGTACTAGTCGACAAAAAACATGAATATTTCGCTAGAACTCCATTTTTTCTATCGAATGGGTGCAAGAAACCACTCATTTATGAAATTCAACTATCCAGTACAGTGGTCAGAATTTAGCAATTTTGCCAATTTCACACAAATTTCAAAAGATGCCAATTTCCGAATAGGGTCCAGAATAAACAAGAAAGACATTCCTGGCACTAAAATGACATTTCCTCTAGTCATTAGTCTCATCTCAAGGCCCCTCTTATATTATTTTGCTTTCCACATTGAATTTTTATTTTCACAAAAAATATAAGATTTACTGTTATGCAGACTACTGCATTAGTGTAAAAAATGGTATAAATATTATTGGTGCACTTGTGAAAGAATATTAGACTCACCAGTTGACGTGTATTGCACGCTTGGCACGATTTGTTTACTTTTGAAGTTTGGTAAAAATCGAACATTTCTGCTACTTTGAGCTCAATTTCAAGGCACCTTTCTTTGTAAAACCAGTCAAAATCATCTCAATTTCTGTAATATGTCTTCCATTCTATAAAATGAGACCAAGAAAACTAGAATACAACAATAAATACCATACGAAAATACACTGCAAAGTCGCTGATTTATTAAAAAAAAATGGTCAAAGTTTTTTTTTTCTCATTATGCACTGTGTGCTGCAGGATTTTTTTTAGACTGTGCACACTGACCACATAGACCCATTCTTTCATATGAAGGCCTACCAGCTTTCTCCCACTAGATTTGAGGCCGCTAGAATTTATGAGTACTAGTACGTCAAAAACCCCTACGCGTAAGACGTACTAGTACGACGAAAACCCTCAAAGGGTTAAATATCATAGAATAGTATGTGTGGGTGGGGTGGCCTGGTATGGTAGCCTGGCTGACTACCATACATACCACACTTGATTTCTTACAATAAATACTACTTGTCTCACCCTAGATTAAGACTATAAATATTTTAAGGTAAGTAATGAGTGCACTATGTGTGTATTGTACTTTTTTATTGTTTTTTTGATGCCTGGTTCTATTGCTAACATAATATATGTTAGTGTAAACTTGTTATCTAGTGTTTGTATGCATTTGTAAGTGGAAAAAAAGGGTGTTCCACTTTACGGCGGTAGCCTGGAACCTAACCCGCCGTATAAGTGGGGCCCTCCTGTATATACGTTTGGACCGTTTACGGGTTAACATGCCTTTCCCACTACATTGTCAAATGCTTTTAGCTTCACTACACTCTTGACTTGACCTGAGCTTGGCTCTCTTCTCACCTTTCATTGACAAAATATTTATACAATACTCTAAAAACTTTATGCTGATGAGAATGGATGCTTCATGGAGATTTTTGGGAAAAAATCAAGTGGTAAATTAGTATCTTGATTACAGTAGCCAATATCTGATGAATAATGAGAGAAAATTCAGAGGCTTCGAAATCATATTAAGGGCCCCAGTGAAAATAAGCATTGCTGACATTTTTGGGTTATCCTAGGTTAAATCTAAATAATATAACATCAGTGTATGACTACAACAATTATGTTCGAAACTCTGTAATTAACCTAAAGCTTTATTATTATTATTACTATAGTATGTGATTTATTAAACCCTCCCATACCCCCGGCCGGGATTGAACCCGCGGTCATTACGATTTCTTAAGTCAAGTCTTATTAAACCCTTATTGGTCATTATTTTTTAGTAGTATTATTAACTTCCATACTTACAAATACTCCTCTTAGGAGTCAGAATTGTTCTTTTAGGACAATTGTGATTGTTAATATCATTTACATTTATTCACAACCATTTATTAGATTTACATAAAATTACTTGGATTTTTATTAATAATGCAATTTTCAGTGTGTGTATTTTAATTGACTAGTGTCTTTAACTTGTCTTGTTGCCTTTCCTATACTTACTAGTTAAAAAATTCTTGTCTTTATAGAAAATCATTGGTTATTTAAGTATGAAATTACAAAAAAAAAAGAAAAGAAATTCTTGTCTGAGATAGTGTTTTGATGATTCCCACAGACTGAAGCTACATTGGTGTTGACACAGCAGAACCTCTGTGAGACACAAAAAGAACTCAACACAACCTCAGAGGCATCTGTGCAGCTCAGTGATGACAATGCACAGCTAAGAGAAAAAATTATCCAATTACTTAGGTAAGGTCTACATATCCAGCTATTAATTCCATATAGTTGATCTGTTTAGAGGGGGGGGGAGGATGCATGCTTTCTGTTTGTATTTAATAAAAGCCAAAAGAGTAAAAGCTGCACTCTGTATTGAACCCTTAATGCTTGTGTGCAATAATTACAACTCTTAATAAGAAATTAATATCTGTTGCTACATTGCCTTTCAAAGCACTACAGGTGCTCCTTGACTTACGATGGGGTTACGTTCTGACAAACCCATCATAAGTCGAAAATGTCATAAGTCACATATGATAAATAAGTAGATAAATAACTACTGTCACTAAATAAATAAATAAACAGATAATTACTGTAACTAAGTATTGAAAAGTAAATGAATACAAGTTACGGACTTGCCGCCTTCATGCTGGGTAATTATCTTAAGTTTCACCTCCAAAGTAATTGCTTTTGCACCATCATAAAGATGAAATATCGTAAATCGAGCACCTGTTTATAGACTGTAAATTAGCATATGAGTTATGGTCCGGGAAACTGGCATGTAATCTAATTTAGCAATGTTTAATCTGACGTGGGTAATATGATCATGATGTCAGCTCAATTCTGGAAAGATGGTGATTGAATGAGTCATGGTGAATGTTTTCTTTGGGTTCCCTTGCTTTGGCAGGAGACAGCCTTTGAGTTACAAATAAAGATAATCTGAAAAAATTTTGGAAAAATAGGGTCACACTTCACTGACCTTTATAAAAAAAAGCAAATGTTTTAAAACTTTTATCATACCTTACATTATAGTTGATGTTTGTTGACTTGGAAGTGTGTAGAGAAAGTTGATGTGGCTCTACTGAACTGAGGTGGATGACAGTAATATTGCGTTAATGCAGAGTTCTCAGTACTATTTGGTAGTTGTACTGGAGTGCTCAAATATTCGTGGATTTCTGGAGACACTTTGAGACATTCATAGGACTATTTGCCTTTCCTAGAATGTTGTACATAATGACACTGAATAGGCTTATGTGCTGGAATTGTTGGAGTCCCACAGAGAGCCTCACTAAATAGTTAATTCCACTTAAAGAACAGCAAAAATGAATTGACAGTGTATCAGACTGTAGACTCCATCTGTCTTATTACACTGAGGCTTCACCATATATGTACTGTAACTATCTTAAGGTTATCACCTACACAACCAGAGTGTCTTGCCATGGGTTAGAGTCCTTTATACCTTTAATGAGTTCTGAGAGTTTTTCTACTCCCAGAGCCTGGCCATAGGCCAGGTTCGTTTGGTGCTAGCCTGGTCAGCCAGGCTGTTGCCGCTGGTGGTCCGCTGACCCACATGTCCATCACAGCCTGGTTGATCTGGTAACTGGTCCATGCAGTGAGTTCCTTACCATTGTGTCATTACAATTTATTATGTCATGAGCATTATATGTTTTATCACTTGCTCTTTCTCTACATATAATTTTATTTTTTTTTGCGGTGTTTATTTACCATTTGTTAAAGTCAAAGCTTTTGTCTTTATAACACTTATTACTGTATTGACGTGACTGTTGTTAGCCGATCATTTATAAAATGCCAGTTCAGTGACTGGTTATGATTTTAGATTTTTTTCATGCATTACTTTATATCCTTGTCTCAAGAGTTGTAGTTTTTGCTTTAAGGTCCCACCCCCCTCTCCCTCTCCCTCTCCCTCTCCCTGAGTTCCTCGAGTATCATGTTATGCCTCAGTCTCTTAACAAATGCTGTTTGTCTTATATAGTGAGATCTCTTTTATTGAAAAGAAAATGATTGAAATCAAAGGTATTTCAGAGAATTAATTTTTTCAGATATTGTAATGGTTGTTTCTCAGCATATTAATTATTGCATAAAGTTTTAAAAAAATAATCTAAGAAGAGGTGGTTAACTTGTGACATAAACAAGAGATAGGTCAAGCTGCAGGCATGTATAAGGTGCTATCAAAAAGTTCCAAGACCCAATTTTTTTGCGCACTTTCCGAATGAAATATGGCACTGGTGTAGATCACGCTGTGCAGTACACTCCTGTGTGAAGTAGAATGGCAAGTTTCACTGACATCAGTTATTCCACTGAGTGTGGTGGTGTAATTTTTTTGTGTATAACAGAATGCTATATGACCCTAGTGGGTTTAGTGCTTCTTTTTGATTATAATAATAATAATGTGTAACAGAATGAAATCTTAAAAAGAAACAACAGTGTGTGTGTTTGTAAAATTCTGTTTTCACAGCAAGTGAAGCTCGCAATATGCTGCAGCCAGCATTTGGTGACAAAGGAAAAGGGTCGGACACAGTGTTTTGAATAGTTTTCTCATTTCAAAGCAGGACAGAAGTCAGTTGAGGAAAATGAATGCTTTGGTTTCCCCATCATTGTCAGAAACAGACCAGCATTGAAAAAAGTGAGGAAGGCTATTGACAAGGATCGTCGTCAAAGTATCCAGGACATTACAAGTGCTGTGGAAATTTCTTATGAATTGTGTCGAAGTATTTTGACTGAAAATTTGAGCATGTGGCAAATGGCTGTGGAAATTGTGCCCCACTTGCTGAGTCAAGACCAGAAAGGCCATCATTTTCTGGCTCAAAATAACACGGAGGTTGGCCCCGATGCTCCCTGCTTCCCCGATCTAACCCCCTGTAGGTGGTGTTTTAATGGCATGGAAGAGATTCCAGTAGAATTGCAGCTTGCACTAGATGCCATTAGGGAAGAAGAATTCCAGAAAAGTTTTAAAAAATGGCAGAGGTGCTGGGATGAGTGCATAATCTCCCAAGGAGAGTACTTTGAGAGAGAGAGCTTCAGCTAGGTAAATAGGTAAGCTTATTCTTTTTCTTTTGCAGCAGTCCAGGAACTTTTTGATAGCACCTTTTATAACTTCTGCAGCTACCACCAATTGGAGTGACTACAAATAGGGATCCAATTTCAGATGTTGGATATATCCCTAGCTAACAGATTTTTTTAAAATATATTTTTGAACAAAAGAGATTTTACTGTACCTAATGTTTTACTAGTTAATATCTTGCAACTACTAACAGTCTATAATGTGTTTGAGTGTGAATTTATGTTGTGCACTGTCCAGAGAGAAGGATGCCCTCTGGAAAGCTAATGTCCGCCTGGAAGGTGCTGCGGGATGTGGCCGAGCCTGGATGGACAACAGTAGTGCCCAGAAGTGCCTAGAATGTGGTGTGACATTCTCTCTCACACGCAGACGACACCACTGCCGTACCTGTGGCCGCATCTTCTGTACTGGGTGCTCCGACAACTGGATCCTGACCCCGGCATCAAGGTGCTAGCCCAGTTCTTAGTCATGTTGTTACAGTTGGTAACATTCGTCCAGGTGGAGCCCAAGAATTAACAAAACAAGTAATGGGCATTTCCAAAAGAATATGTGAAGTGGAAAGGGGCATACTGAACCAAATAATGGTAAAGAAGTCTAGATACAATGAAACAGGTAAAACTGATAGGTGTTTTTCTTCCACAGTTTATGAAGCACTTAACACAAAAAATAGTTCTTCTACATTCATAATATTGTGATGTATCAGTAAGCAAACGGCTGGTTTGTTGAAAGAAGAAAGATATATATATATATATATATTAGCTAATTAAATTAATGAGCTGAAAGCTTTGTAATCATTTTAATGAATTTGTTTGTAAGAGTCTTTACATTGTGTCACTTTTCCCGGCAGTCGACGGGTGAGGGTCTGCGATGACTGCTTCTCTATTCAGGCAGAACTGGCAACAATTATAGCATCTCCAGCCTCACAGAGTTTCAGCAGCACACAGGAAACATGTAAGGCAATTCTACAGGAAACCTGTCCATCACAATGAATTATATTTATGCCTCTCCACTGTAACATTGCATAGGATACAGGCCCCTTAACCCTGAGCACATTTCTTGTAACCAGAAAAACAAATTGAAACAACCACTTTGTCAAACTTCTGTCTTATTTATACCTAGTTGGATGAATCTTATTGTAGCCAGCTGGCCCAGTGGTTTATGCACTGGCCTGGAGTTTTATGCCATGGGTTCTAACCCCACCCATTCCATAGCTTGTTTGCAATTGTGTTATTATGATTTTGTTAATTATAAACACTTGAAATTATCCCTCGTTTACACATCTATATTTCTTATGCAACACCTGTTGTGCTTTAGTAACATGGAAATTCCATTGCAAAATGCTGTTTCACACAAATGGTTTAAGTTGCAGACATGACTACTAATTATCCATTATTAAATCACTCATACCTAGCAGTACACACAAAAATCATGTATTGCACATTTACACATACACTCTAAATGAATGAACGTTCAAATACTAAGTAGTAAAGTAAGGGAAAGCCCAAATTTTCATAGATTTCACTTTCGATGTTCTCTGGGATTGTTTTTTTTTTGTTTTGTTTTTTTTCATCAAACCCACTGTATCCCACCAAGGCAAGGTGACCCAAAAATAAAAACAACAGTTTCTCTCTTTAAATTTATTAATGTATGCAAGAGAAGGGGTCACTAGCCCCTTGCTACCGGCATTTAAGCCGCCTCTTACGACATGCATGGCTTACAGAGGGAGAATTCTGTTCCACTTCCCCATGGAGCCTCTGGGATGCATTGTTGTTAATTAGGAGGCATCGGAGGGGGTTGGGGATGATTACTGTATTTACATATGAGGGATTATTATTCTTTTAAGACAACAACGGTTTCTTTGTGCTGTATCATTGTATCTCACCAGGTCACTAGTCTTGTAAATTCTTTTGTATTTTACTGGATTGCTGTATTGTCAGTATTTTCAACTTCTTTCATTGAAATACAGAGCTACTGATAGCTCTGTGTTTTTTTTTTGAGTCCTGGAAATGGGAAGTACAATGCCTGCACTTTAAAGGAGTGGTTTGGGATATTGGCAGTTTGGAGGGATATGTTGTGTATCTTTATACGTATATGCTTCTAAGCTGTTGTATTCTGAGCACCTCTGCAAAAGCAGTGATAATGTGTGAGTGTGGTGAAAGTGTTGAATGATGATGAAAGTAATTTCTTTTTGGGGATTTTCTTTCTTTTTTGGGTCACCCTGCCTCGGTGGGAGATGACCGACTTGTTGAAAAAAAAAAAAAAAAAATTGTTTTCCTTTATTTATAATACAGTACTGTCATTGGATATGATTTGGCAAGATACAGTTAATGTTGAAAATGGTATAAAATACCGACGTTTGTTATTGTCATGAAAAATATATATATATTTTTTTTTGTAATTCCTTAGTGGCCAGTAGTCCATTAGAGAATGGAACATCGGTGGCCAGTGCTACAGGCTCATCTCATCCACTGCCCATTGGCTCCCGAGACCCTGACGATGATGAATATGCTGTAATATCTGATGACGAAATCCACACCTCACAGTTATCGTCTAGTTCTAGTAGTGGGTCACCTTCAAGCAGCAATGACATGATAACAGAAACACGTGCTACCAAGGATATCCTCACCCCAGAGTCACTCTCTACATCACCACCCACTAATGCTGAGGTAAACTGACAGCAGCATGCAGAAACTTTGATGTATCGTATCGTTTTTTCAAAGTTTCCAGCAGTTACAGCACTTACTATCTGCTCTTGTAAATTATTCCATTGCTTTACCACTGTATGTGTGAAGAACTTTCTAGTACCTCTATAGTACCACTTCTTTCTAGTACCTCTACAGTACCACTTCTTTCTAGTACCTCTTTGGCCCCTCTTCTTTCTTCAGTTTTTTAACTTCTTACTTTTCCTTTGCATAATGCTAGAAAATCTTCATTTTTATGTTGTTACTGTCTTTTGATAATCCTTCATGTTGTTGTCATGTGTCTATCCTGTCAGCCAGTAAGGGTATGTATAATGCCTCCAGTATTGATGAACTGTCATGTTCATTAAAAAGTATAACAGCTTCATTTCAGATAACTCCTCAGTCCTCTGACATGCTTATTATGCTTTTCTCTCTGAAGGTCCAATTTTTTGCTGATATCTTTCCCTCATCACCTCTACATCTCTTCCTCAACCATTTTTCATTATCGCTCTGTAGAACTGAATGATCTATGCAGATTTAGTGATCTTGAATATAAGAACATAAGAATGGAGGAACACTGCAGAAGGCCTACTGGCCTATGTAATAATGATCCAATATTTAGTATAGTTGTATACTGGTATTAAAATTACAGCCTTTATATATTTGTTATCATAATTTTAAAAATTACTTACTGTATTTTACGGCAAACAAGATGCTATGGTGTTGAGGATGCAACCCCCCCAGTTCTGATTGGCTTAATTTTGGAAGAAAAAAAAAAGATATATGGTACTTCAGCTTCCAAGATTCTGGGTAAATTTTCAAGACTTATTTTGGAAAAAAATAGCAGCTTTAATGCTGTAAAATACAGTCATTTCATTTATGTATTTCACAAATAACCCATAAGTTGTAAGTAGAAACCAGGCAATGTTTCAGTCTGTTCTAAGCCATTTTCAAGTCGATTGCAATTTGATAATAGTGCAGGATGTACAAAAACATTGCCACATTTCTGTTTTTGATGTAAATGGCTCCAGCCACAGTATTGTGATATTTATTCTTCAACTGTAACTCCAAGCAAACACTAGCAGCCTTCATGTGCTTCCATGTGTAGGTGTGGGTGGGAGCAGGCCCCGAGTTTGGTCCCCAAGATTTCCCACGGGCTTTACTTTTCACGGGAATTCTGTCTGAACCCAAAGGAAAAAGCATCTGATATGTGAATTTTAAATTGTGCTTGTTGAACTATACGCATTTTCACTAAATAGAAATTTTCATTGTTATGGTTTTGTGATAGAATGTTAGTTAATTTGAAAATATCACGGGGATTTGAACTCTGTAAAAAGGGTGCCCCTTGACTTACGAGGGCACGTGCTCAACAAACTCATTGTAAATCAAAATTATTGTAAGTTGAAAATGAATATGATATCCTAAATAAATAAATAAATGAATAGCTACTGTCACCAAATAGGTAAATAAACAAATAATTACTGTACCTAAATACCAGTATTAAAAAGTAAAAAAATGTATACAAGTTATGGACTTGCCGCCTTCATGCTGGGTAACTATCTTAACTTTCAGCTCCAAAGTAGTTCCTTTGCGCCATCGTAAAGTCAAAATATCGTAAGTTGAACCATCGTAAGTCTAGGAGCACCTGTATACATAATAGCTTCATCCATAACAGAGTGTGTCATTTGCTGTGCTGCACCAACCTCAAGCTAGTAGCCAGCCAACGATTGAAGCAGAAGCTGCGGCCGCAACAGCTAGTCAGCAGCGAGTATTGATTCCCACCACCCGAGTAGCTTCAACACAAGGAGCTGCTGTCAAGGGGCGTTTGCTTACTAAGCAGCCAGGAGTATATACCCTCGTCTTTGATAATTCCTTTTCTAGGTGTAGTTAGCGTGTTTTTGACATTGCTATGATGGTCATGCATGCCATTTGAAATCTGTTAATGCTTCAGAGGAAACCTGCTAAAAAAGTGAGCAATTTTTAGAAAAGGTAAAGCCTATTTTAAAAGTATTCATGATAGATTTTGTTAAAATATACCTAGATAGACCACCTGTACAAGCAAGTGTTCATTTTGCTATATCGAAAGGTACCAGCAAGTATAGTGCTTGTCATGAAAGTATGCTGGAAGGCATCCATCACAGTTCAGTGTCCAAAGTAATACCTCACCTGGTAGGTTTGTAGATGACACAAAAAAATTATGCTGGGTTTAAAGCTTGAAGCAGAATGTCTCAGAATTCCCTAAGGATACTGGCTATATTTTAAGTGCCTTCTAGGCTTGTGTGGTGGACGGTTTTGTGTCCAGGGTAACCTTCCACCATATTGTTTTGAAGACCAAGTTTGTCGGGCATTTTTGACTATTAAATATAAGCAGGAGAAAGTCCCTGACATAGGCAATTAAATTTATCGTTGTATTATATAAAGCAGGCATTCAAGTGAAGGAAATAGTAGAAGCCACCAATGTGTGAGCACCCCGTGAGAACCTGGTTGTGTCTGTTCCTTGAGGACAATGTTAATGACATACTTTCACCAAGAGCACATCTAGGGAAGCCTCAAAAAAATGTCCCCACTAATGTTTACTATAATAACATACCTAGAATTGCTCTTGTTATCACTTGCTAAATCATTCATGCAGTGTGGTGCAACTGTTCAGTTGCTTTGTGCCAGTGAGGTACCTTTTTTTCAATGACTGGCAAGGATAATCCCCAGACTTGAACCTCATTGAAAACCTCTGGGTTGTAATAAAAAGAGATCTACTAAAGAAAAGATATGAGCCCACTCCTGTGGCTTTAAGGATGCCATCCACGAGTCATGAGGATATTTACCCCATGAAACCCTGGAGAATGTGTGTTAACCACTTCCTAGACATTTGAAGGATGCCCTAGAGAGCAAGCAATGGCTTATTTTGTGGTCGTGGTTGTAGAGGGAAGGGGCAGCATACTTTAATGATTAGCGCTGTAAGTGAAATAAACAAATTTTTAATTATGTTTGAATGAGGTAAGACTGGCAGCATTAGACTGTCTCATGCTTGATGGATTGAGGATAAAGTCTCCACAACTTCCTGCTCAGAAGAGCCCACATAAGTTTAGTATGTCACATAAATGTGTAATGGAGTACTAGATTGATAATTAATAGGAATGATATACTTAATGAATTTTGAAAGTAGCAGTTTATGACAATTAGATACAAAGCAAAATAATTACTGTATAGTGTTAGAAAATAATAAAAGAAGCAATTATATATGTCGTACCTGTGATAGTTTCAAGAGTTGTTCTACTCTGGCAGCCCAGACTGAAGTTACACTTCATTATACCTTTTGATAAAAGTGAGGTGACCTAATCTCACAAATAGTAAAATAAGTTTTCCTATGATGCACTAATAAATAAGCACTTGGGCGTACAATACATATATCACGAGTAGAAGATATATTGTCCAAGTTATACACAGTATTTTATCCATAACAGAGGCTTGTTAAAAATTTATTTCATTTCTGTCATTTAAAGCATTTTTTTTCTCTACAGATTCACTGCCAAAAAAGTGACTTACAGTTTGAGACTAGAAAACCAAGAGAGTTTGGAAGAGGGACCACAGCCACAGTCTTCTTCACAGACATAGCCAGTACCTACTTTGCCTCTAAGTCTTTGTTGTAGTGATTCTTGTCACTTTTTATTAATCATGTTATGGAAAAGGCATTAATGAATATGTATTCAATAAGCTGACTGATATACAGGCTATCTTGTACTGTATTACAGTTTCTGTAATTGTAATTGCACATTATCTGCTCCAGTGGAGGGGGAGGGTGCCTTGATTAAACCTGATTATACCCCACCCCTTTCATTCTCCACGCACTGTATGACCCTTGTGGATTCAGTGTTTTTCCCTGAACTTAATAATGACATGTAATGTTTGTACTGCAGATGTGTGGTGGGTTATGAGCCCCATGACTGACAAACATCTAACCACTACATTTTTCTTTGTATAAAACCTTCTTCTTAAGACATACAGTATTTTGTTAGTTAAAAGCTGGTACTATCTGGGATTCTTTGTTTTCCTAACAATTTGTCACACAACCCTTTCAGAAACTTGAGTGCAGACATTTCCTGTGATTGAAGTGCCTCTGAGCTTATTGACACTTTTGTAGCATGCTGCCTGGCGCCTATATTTGTGAATCTCTAGGTTTCCATGTAACTGGCAGCACCACCCTTCAGCTTCAGAGTACTGGAGGTAGGTGTTGGTCATTGAAGATACACAGGTGTAGTCTCATGCTGTCACCTTGCTATCTTTCCAGGACAGCTTGGTGACTCCATCAGGCATGTTTGGCAGCCATCAGATATCATTAGCTAGGGCTCTCAAGTCTGATGGGCAAGGGGCTTGATTGACCACTTCCTGTCTTGGATTCTTTCCTTCTGTTGTATGATATATGAGATAATGGAGCCCAGATTGGTTTGCCGACACACTGCCTCAGATACACCTGTGTTTGGCCATTTGCACTAAATGCAAATGGCCTGAAGGTCGAGGCAAGTGCCCAAGGAGAAATTAGGGACAACCAAGAGGAAATCCCTAGCTTGTGGTATCTGCACCACTAGGAGACCACCATGAAGCATTGTCAAGCATGATTTTAGGCAAGTTTCTCTACAATGGGGTTGTCCCAGTTGGGACCAGTTGTAGTCTTTTGGAGGGGCAGGTCTGCATGAGGGGTCTTTAACAGTATGTATTTCGACTGCCCTGCTCCTTTGATACAAAGGGTTGTGAATTCCTGCAGAACCTTTAAAGCATTCTGATGCTACTTAACTCACTAGATGGGTGGATGCAGTGCACAAAGATAGAAATGCAGGCAGTGATGTCTTTATAACCAGAAGCTTTGCTGATCCCATTAATCATCATCCAGGGGCAGATTTAGTGCTTTCCTCAATATTTATATCAGTAGTTCATCATATTCCTTCAGTATTTGGCTCTCAAAGGAAAGTACATAACTCAAGAAATAAACCAAAAATAAATAAAATAAAATAAATTATATATACGTACAGTAGAACCCCTGTATCCACTTATTCGATATCCACGGTTTACTGTGGCCAAAAAATACCTCTTAATTTTGCATAATAATGGCCCCAAAGTACAAAAGTAGAGAAGCTGGCAGTTATTCAAAGCCTAAGAGAATCCGTGAAGTGCTTCCCATCAGTGAAAAATTTTTAATTCTCCACTTATTGTGCATAATTTATCAACTAAACTTTATAATAGGTATGTATAGGACTTACATATAGGGTTTGCTGCTATCCATGGCAGGTCCTTGGAATGTATTCTCTGTAGATATGGGGATCCTACTGTGTGTATATATGAAAGAAGAATATATATACATATCCATGGGGAAGTGGAACAGAATTCGTCCTCTGTAAGCCATGCGTGTTGTAAGAGGCGACTAAAATGCCGGGAGCAAGGGGCTAGTAACCCCTTCTCCCGTATAAATTACTAAATTTAAAAGAGAAACTTTCGTTTTTCTTTTTGGGCCACCCCGCCTCGGTGGAATACGGCCGGTGTGTTGAAAGAAAGAAAGAAAACTATATATATTTTTTTCAACAAGTCCCACATACATATACATACATACATACAATGGAACCTCGAGTTATGAACACCCCACCATGCGGATTTTTCAGGATACAAACCATCATTCGGTCGATTTGGATCTGTGCTCCAGGTCCCTAAATTAATAATAATAATAATATTATTATATTATTATTATAATACTTACGTACTAATAATTATGATAATACATAATAATAATTACGTATATAATAATAATATACACCTACCATCCAACTTACGACCTGCTCGACTTATGACCATGTTTTTTATGCCAAATTTCTGGGAAATAAACAACTATGTGTGTTGTACACAGTGTTTATCCTAAACCTTACAGTATAAAATACACTACTAACAGTATAAAAAGTAAAGTAAAACATGAAATACCAAAATAAAACAATAAAATAAAGTCATTACAAAAATGTTTTGTTGATATTCAGTAGTAAAGTTCGACTTACGACCATTTCGACTTATGACTGGTTTCTCGGAACCGAACTCGGTCGTAAGTCAGATGGTAGGTTTTTTTTTTTTTTTTTTTTTTTCCCCAACAAGTCGGCCGTCTCCCACCGAGGCAGGGTGACCCAAAAAAGAAAGAAAATCCCCAAAAAGAAAATGCTTTCATCATCACTCAACACTTTCACCACACTCACACATTATCACTGTTTTTGCAGAGGTGCCCAGAATACAACAGTTTAGAAGCATATACGTATAAAGATACACAACACATCCCTCCACACTGCCAATATCCCAAACCCCTCCTTTAAAGTGCAGGCATTGTACTTCCCATTTCCAGGACTCAAGTCCGACTATATGAAAATAACCGGTTTCCCTGAATCCCTTCACTAAATATTACCCTGCTCACACTCCAACAGATCGTCAGGTCCCAAGTACCATTCGTCTCCATTCACTCCTATCTAACACGCTCACGCACGCTTGCTGGAAGTCCAAGCCCCTCGCCCACAAAACCTCCTTTACCCCCTCTCTCCAACCCTTTCGAGGACGACCCCTACCTCGCCTTCCTTCCCCTATAGATTTATATGCTTTCCATGTCATTCTACTTTGATCCATTCTCTCTAAATGACCAAACCACCTCAACAACCCCTCTTCTGCCCTCTGACTAATACTTTTATTAACTCCACACCTTTTCGTAATTTCCACACTCCGAATTTTCTGCATAATATTTACACCACACATTGCCCTTAGACAGGACATCTCCGCTGCCTCCAACCGTCTCCTCGCTGCTGCATTTACCACCCAAGCTTCACACCCATATAAGAGTGTTGGTACTACTATACTTTCATACATTCCCTTCTTTGCCTCAATAGATAACTTTTTTGACTCCACATATACCTCAACGCACCACTCACCTTTTTTCCCACATCAATTCTATGTTTTACCTCATCCTTCATAAATCCATCTGCCGACACGTCAACTCCCAGGTATCTGAAAACATTCATTTCTTCCATACTCCTCCTCCCCAATTTGATATCCAATTTTTCTTTATCTAAATCATTTGATACCCTCATCACCTTACTCTTTTCTGTGTTCACTTTCAACTTTCTACCTTTACACACATTCACAAACTCATCCACTAACTTTGCAATTTTTCTTTAGAATCTCCCATAAGCACAGTATCATCAGCAAAAAGTAACTGTGTCAATTCCCATTTTGAATTTGATTCCCCATAATTTAATCCCACCCCTCTCCCGAACATCCTAGCATTTACTTCTTTTATAACCCCATCTATAAATATATTAAACAACCATGGTGACATTACACATCCCTGTCTAAGACCTACTTTTACCGGGAAGTAGTCTCCCTCTCTTCTACACACCCTAACCCGAGCCTCACTATCCTCATAAAAACTCTTTACAGCATTTAGTAACTTACCACCTATTTCATATATGTACTTGCAACATCTGCCACATTGCTCCTCTATCCACTCTATCATATGCCTTATCTAAATCCATAAATGCAATAAAAACTTCCCTACCTTTATCTAAATACTGTTCACATATATGCTTCAATGTAAACACTTGATCTACACATCCCCTACCCACTCTGAAACCTCCTTGCTCATCTGCAATCCTACATTCTGTCTTACCTCTAATTCTTTCAATTATAACCCTACCGTACACTTTTCCTGGTATACTCAGTAAACTTATTCCTCTATAATTTTTACAATCTCTTTTGTCCCCTTTCCCTTTATATAAAGGGACTATACATGCTCTCTGCCAATCCCTAGGTACCTTCCCCTCTTTCATACATTTATTAAACAAAAATACCAGCCATTCCAACACTATTCCCCCCCCCCTGCCTTTAACATTTCTGTCATGATCCCATCAGTTCCAGCTGCTTTACCCCCTTTCACTCTACGTAATGCCTCACGTACCTCCCCCACACTTACATTCTGCTCTTCTTCACTCCTAAAAGATGGTATACCTCCCTGGCCAGTGCATGAAATTACCGCCTCCCTTTCTTCCTTAACATTTAAAAGTGCCTCAAAATATTCTCGCCATCTACCTAATACCTCCATCTCCCCATCTACTAACTCCCCTACTCTGTTTTTAACTGACAAATCCATACTTTCCCTAGGCTTTCTTAACTTGTTTAACTCACTCCAAAATTTTTTCTTATTTTCATTAAAATTTCTTGACAGTGCCTCTCCCACTCTATCATCTGCTCTCCTTTTGCACTCTCTCCACTCTCTTCACCTTTCTTTTACTCTCCATATACTTGCTCTTCTTATAACACTTCTGCTTTGTAAAAACCTCTCATAAGCTACCTTTTTTCTCTTTTATCACACCCTTTACTTCATCATTCCACCAATCACTCCTCTTTCTTCCTGCCCCCACCCTCCTATAACCACAAACTTCTGCCCCACATTCTAATACTGCATTTTTAAAACTATTTCAACCCTCTTCAAACCCCCCACTATATAATAATATATAATAATAATAAAATAATATAATAACATATAATATATATGTAATGTAATAGTACAATAATAATTAATACTACGTACATACTGCGTATAATTTAGTTTGACAACACCACCAGTGCACATGTGCTTACAGAGCTACCCTCATGGTGCAAGGAATTCTCGCGATTTCCTCATGTTTCGTGCAGTTAATTTGCCAGATTTCTTTCTTCTAACCATGGGTCCTAAGGAAGCAAGTGCAAAGGACAGTGCCGAGTAGAAAAAGAGGATGATTTTCATGGAATTAAAGCAAGAAATGATTAATAAGCACAGACTAGGTACAAGGGCTGAGGACTTGGCAAGTTGAGTACAAGCTTAGCCCCTCTACTATATGTACCTACGGGTTTAGTGCTTCCCCATGATTATAATAATAATAATAATGTACTATTTGTACAATACTAAAGTAGGAGTCTATAAAGGCTATAGTGCCAGCAAAGGGCATTACAGTAATTTCTAAGCAGTGGACCTCTGTCAATTAAAAGATGGTAAAGCTGCTGTTGACATGGTTGATGGAGAAACAGCTCACAGGAGATACATAGTGTAGTGAGATAAACAAAAGAATTGTACATAGCAGTTCTTAAGAAAAGTGTGAACTCCTGACAGCATATGCCACTCTGCATTTCTTCTCCGTGGTATGTAAATGTCGTATGTGCACCAGATCTAATTCAGTTAGCCTCACAAACTCCGTTTTCTCTTATAATAACACCTCTGATGTTTTCATAGCAATAATGTGCGAACCACTCCTGACCACAATCCTCCTCCCTCGGCCGTTCATGTAATGACATATTTTATTCATTCTAGAATGTAAATCAGGTTTCTGTGTTATTTATATTGTTTATTATGTCATATTAGATGAATTGTGACAGATAAATAAGCCATAGAGTTGATATTAGGGTTATTTTGTCATGCCTCCTGAGAGCAGGAATTCATCTGGAATGAATTAATTGCATTTCAGTTAATCTAAACGAGGAAAATTGACCCAGCATACAAACAAATCAGGATACGAACAAGTCCACGGAATGGATTAAATTCGTAACTTGAGGTTCCACTGTGTGTGTGTGTGTGTGTGTTTGTGTTTGTGTGTGCATTTATGTGTGTGTTTGTGTGTGTTTATGTGTGTGCGTGTGCACGCACGCGCACGTGCCAGTATCTTGGCACCCACCTAATGCTAGACGTTTTGGTCCAAGGCAGCCAGCGTTCAGGCAGGTGGTGTTAAGCTTTTCATCTCATTCCCTGCATGCATCAACCAATGAGAGATTTTTACAATGTTTAGAATTCGCAGAACAAGCGAAATATTCTAAACATCGTAAAAATCTCTCAATGGTTGATGCATGCAAGAGATGAGATGAAAAGCTTAACACCACCTGCCTGAAGGTTGGCTTCCTTGGACCAAAACGTCTAGCGTTAGCTGGGTGCTAAGGTATTGGACCAGTGTGATATGGTGGTAGAGTACTGTGTACCTTGTTCCTAGTTTTGTGGGTTCAAGTCTCCGTCTTGAACCCACAAATATATATATATATGTATATATTATATACATACATATACATGTGTGTATATATATATATATATATATATATATATATATATATATATATATATATATATATATATATATATATATTTATATATATATATTATATACAGTGGACCCCCGCATAGCGAACTTAATCCTGCAAGAGGGCTGGTCGTTATGCGAAATGTTCGCTATGCGAATTAATTTTCCCATAAGAAATAATGGAAATAAAATTAATCCGTGCAAGACACCCAAAAGTATGAAAAAAAAATTTTTTTACCACAAAAAAATGTTAATTTTAGTACACACAAACTGAAAAAGGCATGCACAATTACATGACACTTACTTTTATTGAAGATCTGGTGATGATTGATGGGATGGGAGGAGGGGAGAGAGAGTGTTAGTGTTTAGAAGGGGAATCCCCTTCCATTAGGACTTGAGGTAGCAAGTCTTTTGGGGTTACTTCCCTTCTTCTTTTAATGCCACTAGGACCAGCTTGAGAGTCACTGACCTCTGTCGCACAACAAATCTGTCCAATGAGCTCTGTACTACCCGTTCCTTTACGATTTGTCT